TGCTCTCCTCCATGTTTTATGTGGCAAGCATGATGGGAAACTCCCTCATTATTCTCACTGTGACCTCTGACCCTCACTTACACTCCCCCATGTACTTTCTGTTGGCCAACCTCTCCTTCATTGACTTGGGAGTTTCCTCTGTCAGTTCTCCCAAGATGATTTATGACCTTTTCAGAAAGCGTAAAGTCATCTCCTTTAGAGGCTGCATCACTCAAATCTTCTTCATCCACATCATTGGTGGTGTGGAGATGGTACTGCTCATAGCCATGGCCTTTGACAGATATGTTGCCATATGTAAGCCCCTCCACTATCTGACCATCATGAGCCCAAGAATGTGCGTCTTCTTTTTAGTGGCTGCCTGGATGACTGGCCTTATCCACTCCACGGTTCAATTGGTTTTTGTCATAAACTTACCTTTCTGTGGTCCTAATGTATTGGACAGCTTTTACTGTGACCTTCCTCGGTTCATCAAACTTGCCTGCACAGACACCTACCAACTGGAGTTCATGGTCACAGCCAACAGTGGGTTCATCTCTGTTGGCTCCTTCTTCATACTGATCATTTCCTATATAATCATCATTCTCACTGTTCAGAAACACTCGTCTGCTGGTTCATTTAAGGCTCTGTCCACACTGTCAGCTCACATCACTGTGGTAGTCTTGTTCTTTGGTCCTTTGATATTCTTCTATACATGGCCATCTCCCTCCACATACCTAGATAAGTTTCTGGCTTTCTTTGATGCAGTTCTCACTCCTTTCCTGAATCCTCTCATTTACACATTCAGGAATCAAGAAATGAAGGTGGCAATGAGGAGAATATTCAGACAGATAGTGAATTACAGGAAGATCTCTTAAGTGATTCCTGTATTGTGAAAAATCCTTGTTAATTACTGATGTTCATTATTGATGGTCAAACCCAGAGAGAAGCTGTTGAATTTCCTACCTTGATTTGATTATACACACTGATAGTCTATTTTATCTTTCGCTAGGAAGGAGGGATATTCACTTCTGAAATGAGAGAGGTACCTATAAAGTATTTGTAAACCAAAGATTACAATAATCTTGAGCCTAAATTCCTACGGAATAATAGTTGTATGAAGTAATTTTTAGAAATACATGAGGAATGTCTTCTTAAAGTCCTTCAGAACAGGGAGAAGAATCTTTTGTTGGTGTTGCAATCCAATGTACACATCAGGATGGATGCAGAGAGGGCTGATGGCCACTCTGAGTTTATTATAACCAGCGTTTCAATATATACGTAGCTTACAGCTGTTAAACATACACAGGTGTTCTGGATGAAGTAATTAGCGAATGCCAAGAATTCTTAGTAATTTCTCAAGGAGCCCTCCCTTGGCCTCTGTTTTGATATTATCATTTTATTGCTGTGCTCCTATATTTTTATCTCGGAGCAGGCAAGGTCTCTTAGGCAATGGTCCCTCCTGCTCCGGATATCGATATCGTTTCTCCATCTGTGCCCCCAGGCGTCCGCCGCCTGGCTTAGGTTGCCCCCCCAGGGGTCTTACCCGTCATTGGCTAACTGGCCTTCTCACCTCCGGGTCACAGTTTGTTGGCAAGCTTTTTCCAGTGATTATTAACCCTTCCTGTGTCAGGGGCGGCTACATCTTTCAATCCACCCTAGTTCAGTATGACTTCATCTTAACTTGACCTCATCTGCAAACACCCTATTTCCAAATATGGTCACATTTACAGATATTAGGGATTAGGACTTAAACATACGTATTTGGTGGACACAAATCAACCCACAACAGTAGGTAGTATAGGTATCTGGGAATAAGAATGGTTGTAGCATAGTTCCCCATAATCAAAGTGAAAATATATTTAAAATAAATAAAATAGTAGGAGGAACTTTTGCTCTTTCATAGGGAATTAACTATATTTTTAAATAACAGAGCATATAAAGTCAGCATAAGGCACAAAAGTTATTCTTGGGAGCTTAGGAATCTCTACTAACTAGGAAGATTACACAGAAGGGAAAGAATAACATTTACTGCCTTTAATCAAGAGCAGAATGAAAATACCCAAATAAATTTGTCATGTCATTCTAACGGAGAGAAAACCAAATTCTAGCCTTGCTTCAATTTAGTGTTTGGTGGTAAATCATCCCTAAGTTTTTAAAATAAACCCATCAAACTGAGCTGTGCAAACTTTGCCAAAATATTAATACGTCTTCTTTTCAGACTCATTATTTGAAGATATATATAACTGTAACCAGCTCAAATAGAATCTACTTCCTGAGCCTTCTGCAGCTTTCTATCTCCATTGGGTTTTCTCTTTTACTATCCTCTTTCAGATGCTGGAATAACTAGATGTTTTATTTTAGGATAAAGCTATCCTTTCTTTCTCCTTGATAAATAAATCCAGATCCTATTACCTTGCACAGCCAATCACATTTTTTACTATAGTTACTTCTATTACAGTCTCAATCACCCATTTTATGAGTTTAACCAAAGTAACTAACTTTTATTTCACAGACATCACTTCGTTTAAAAAATACAGAGCCTGACAGTAGTTTAAGTGGTAAAAACCGATTTTAATCAGAAACTATTGCAATAGGGGAAAAAGAGACTTCAGTAGAGTACTGGGCTTAATTTCTAACATAATTAGAACAAGTGGGAATTTACAGCAAAGAGCAGATGGAGTGGCAGGAGTCAATCGATGCAATTTACTAAGAGGAGACATTAAGGGTAAGGAGAATTCTTGCTAAATTGACCTAACAGGATTCTTGCTGAGGGCAGGCCATGGTGATCAGACACCAAATGTAGATGTTTAGGAATTTTACCAGATATCAAAGATGAGGGATTTTCTCTAAACAGACTTAGCAGAGTTGTTGCTAAAACTGGACTATGCGAGCCCAGCAAGGATGGATCCCAGGTTGACATCTGGTGGAGAAAAGGGCTCAGAGGAGCCCAAGTAACATCTGGTCAAGGAGAGAGTCTTTGTCAACCTAAAGGTGGGTAATTGAAAAGTAGTGTCATATACAATTATTCTAGAAGACTAACAAAGCTCAGGAACACTCAAAATATAACCTCCCACTGGCACAAACATCCTATTTACACCTTCTTAAAAATTGTAAACATCCTTAACGTTGTCAAAATTAACACATTTGCTAACATGACCCAAAGATATAGACGCTCTATAAAGGTATAAGTAAACTGATACACACACACACACACTATGACCAACGTTTCATTACTCAGTCTTATTTAAAAATTATCTAATGAATATCTACTAATTACTTTATTAACATAAAACCAAAATCTAAAAACAACTGAGGATCTTAGAAGTTATATTTCAGTGGACTCACTAAAAAATTGTCAGTTATAATTCCAATTTATTGAACACATAATTTTACATTTTCTATAATTTTAAATGCTTGCTTTATGCTCCATTCTGATAATATCAGGGAGAATACCCATAGCTATTTTATAAAAAATGTTATCAACCCAGTCTGTATTGTCCAAAACTTTATTTTGATTATTTGAATTCGAATTTTTATTTAAAAATGCTCTGACCTGTAATTTCTTTGAAACTTTTTTTTCTGAAAAAGATGGCATACAGCAAACAGTAGAAATTCAGTTTTCTTTAGGGGGTGGAATTTGAGGAATATTAGATTCAAGTCAGCACTTACTAATCTCCATAAAGCAATAATAAGAACTCCTTTAAGAGGCTTTAGATTTAGTTTATTAATACAACATTGAAGTAGAAAAGCACTTCACACTCATACAATGAAAGGAAAAGGCTCCTCAATTGAAGAAACACAGTCACACCTAAGACTATTAGATTCCATTCTAGAAGTTCAGCTAGAAATCAAGACTCAGATTTATCAAAAAGTAAAAAATGTAGATGGATGCACAAAATCTCACGTGGGATCTTCAGTGGAACTTCTACCTACTTCCAATAGAAACAAAACAAACAGATTGGAAAAAAATCCAATTAACAAATCAAATTCTCTATCATCTCTCATTTGATAGAAAATTGGTCCCCACATCCCAAGAGAGATTACCAAATGATCAAATCCTGAAACCAAATTCACAATCTCTGTTGCCATCAATGAGGAATAACCTATCTGCCTCATGCAAACCAGGATTGGAACCAAACTTGGCCAAGAACCGGAAACAAACCAAAGCAGAAAAACAAAACAGAGATCAGAATGTCAGCGAAGGTAGTTTTAATGCTGCTTGGGAATCATTATGGGAACCAAGAAGAGTCATGCCTAGCCTTAAACATCCCATGAGAAGCATTCCTTGGGAAATAGTTTATTAGTTCCAGAAAGTGAGTCCACTTGGATATCTTTATGGGACCTTCAGAGTGGCCAAAGTATAATTTTCAAAAAGTTAAAAACATAACCCATATAAAATGAACATGTGTCAATTATTTACTGAGCTCACTAATGAGGGAAGCAACAGGGGGTAATCTAGTTCCAATCAAGTTTTTATGGAATCAGTTTCCAAGACAGATTAGATCCCCCTGTAAATGTTCTTCAGGACGTCTCAATTTCACCAATTCCATGATTCTGACTTGTGCAAGTGTTTTATAAATAGGTGGAGGCACAGTGACCACATCAGATCTTTTAAGAGACAAAACCCTGGAATAAAACTAGAGTCACATTACCTCTCATTTATAAAAATTCTTTATACCTTTGTAAATTAGATTTCCCCCATTTATTCCATTTTAATGGGGCAGTTTCTCCTAGTGGGACACTAACTGATACAAGTATTTGGTATATTAGACAAAGAAGCAGTCTTAAGACATTCAAGGAGTTTAAAATAAAGAGGCAGTCAGTGTGAATAATGCTGAACTTCACTATTAATCAGGGAAATTCAAATTAAATAAACTCCTTAGGTTGAAAGCCCAAATGCTGTGTGGGATATGATATGTAGTTTACAAGACCTAGGCTGCGAAGTCCCTCGGCTTTGTGATATAGTGAGAGATTCCAGTCTTGGAACCCAGAAACAAAATCCAAATGATGTGGCAGTTAGAATGTAGGTTTATTGACTAGGATGCTGATGGGGTATTCATGGGTTTCTAAGGGATAGAAGCCCTAGAATGATGACACCCAGTGCTCCTTTGATCTGGTAGTTACACACCTTACTGGTCATAGGTCCACCAACCCAGCAGAAAAGAAAGTACCAATAAGCTGTTTCCACTCGGTATGTAATTTATTCTTTGCCCTAATTGGTAATTATCTCATATGACTAGATCCTGAATGAATTCTTTCTCTTTACCACTTAAGTAGTTGTAGCCAAGAACTTCCATGTGGTCATGAGAACCACAAGTTAACAGTACATATTAAAAATAAAACTGTGCATCTAGTATTTCCTAGAAACTCTACTTCTCATTATTTGCCCTTTGGAAGCACTTGCACACGTGTATAAGAAGACATGTAGAAACATTAGTTACCACCTTGTAAAAGCAAACATTGGAAAAACCCGAATGTCCACTAACGGGAGAGAGTTAAACTGTTCTGATGTCTATTCTCTACTTGCCTTTCCATATCTAATTTTCATCATGTCCACTCTTCTCTGAGCCCTGTAAAACTGAACTTTATGGGCTGAATCAACCAGTGGCTCTTGCCCTTTTGCTTCTGCTTGGGTGTAGCTAATGGGGTCTATGCAGGGATTTAGAGGACAGGCAGAAAGTGAAATCAGGATATTTATTCCCTCACTTTCTCCCTTCTGAGCTTTGTGTTGAAAATTACTGCACCCAGTTCCTCCACCAAAGCCCTCAGCTCTTGTTGGTGGCCTTCTTCTACTGCTATAGCTCTTTCTCAGATTTACGGTTGTGTTCCCTCCCACTGCTCCTCAGCTTTAGGGAGTAATGTGGAGTACAACAGAAGTTCTCAAAGGCATAATGTTTTGTATGTCTCAAGTTCCTACTCAAGATCCTTGTTCATTTTTAAGATATCTTGAAACAAGGGGGAGGTTTGATGTACCATGGAGACCCACAGTCTCCTGGGGCCCTCAAATCAAGAAAGCAGGAGAGGACAGCTCTAGCCACAGGCTGGGAGAAGGTGAACCAGTAGTTAGGCTTACTGTTGTCAGACAGAGGGTCTTGGGGATTTTCTCTCCTAGACAGTTGATTTTGTGAGTATATATGAGGTTGACATGAGCTGTTTGTGATTCAAGGGAGTCTCTATCATTCTAAGCAGACATGCTGCACATTGTCCCGTTCCTGGTAGACAGGGTCCTGTCTCATCTCAGACACAGGAGGAATTTATTCTCTGTGTACTTCATTATAAAGTAAATAAAAACCTAGGGTTACAGCCTGACACAATTCCCTGGGCAAAACAATTGGCTATTTTGCAGGTCTCAGTAGAACGTATTGTTACTTATATTCAGAACTGTTAATTGACAACTTCATCTATCAGAATAGGAGCTTATGTAGTAATTAGTGTTCAGGATAATTTTGACAATTGGCTAAGTTTTGAGATTTCTAATCCTGAAGTAGATATTATGGAAATCTTGGCCACCTTTTATACCATTTTTATTTCGACTGTATTAGGGTTCTTTTCATCATAATTTCTCTCTCTTTTCCTCTCTCCTCTTTTTCTACATTTTTAATTCTTTTTTTTTTTTATCTTGTTGAGATAGGTTTTCCCTGAGCTAACAACCAATTTTGTTTTTGCTTGAGGAAGATTAACCCTGAAGTAACATTTATCCCAATCTTCCTGCACTTTGTACATGGGGCACAACCACAGCATGGCTGGTGAGTGGAGTAGGTCCTCACCCGTGATCCAAATCCGTGAACCCAGGCCACCAAAGCAGAGCATGTCAAACTTTAAGCACTCAGCCACAGGGCTGGGCCCTACATTCTCCTTATCTAAAAATGCTTCATCATGTTGTGAGACTCTCCTTTTAGTCAGGTCTCAGCTTAAATGACCCTTTTTGCCCTCCCCCTCCTTCCCCTATGGTAACCACCAATCCAATCTCCATTGCTATGTTCTGTTTGTCATTGCTTTTATCTTCTACATATGAGTGAGATCATATGGTATTTGACTTTCTCCCTCTGACTTATTTCACTCAGCATAATACCCTCAAGGTTCATCCATGTTGTCACAAATGTCCAGATTGCATCAGTTCTTATGGCTGAGTAGTACTCCATCATGTATATATACTGCATCTTCTTTATCCATTTGTCCCTTGATGGGCACCTAGGTTGCTTCCAAGTCTTGATTATTGTGAATAATACTGCATGAACAAAGGGGTGCACATATCTTTATGCATTTGTGTTTTCAAGTTCTTGGGATAAATACCCAGCAGTGGGATGGCTAGATCATATGGTAGATCTATTCTTAATTTTCTGAGGATACTCCATACTGTTTTCCATAGTGGCTGCACCAGTTTGCACTGCCAGCAGCAGCATATGAGTGTTCTCTTCTCTCCACATCCTCTCCAACACTTGTTTCCTGTCTTGTTAATTATAGCCATTCTGACCAGATATTTGCAAACCATATATCAGATAAGGGGTTAATATCCAACATATACAAAGAACTCATACATCTCAACAACAAAAAAAAACCCACAACCCAGTTAAAAAATGGGCAAAAGATCTGAACAGAGATTTCTCCAAAGAAGATATACGGATAGAACAGGCATATGAAAAGATGCTCAACATCATTAGCTATCAGGGAAATGCAAATCAAAACTACAATGAGGTATCACCTCACTCTGGTCATAAGATATTTTCGTGATATGATTTTAAAATCACTTGGAATAGCTACTTGAATTCAATGTTTTAAGGACTGACTTTTCTGGAAGGGAAAGGCTGGTTATATGACCAACAAGCAACCCTTGAAGCTTAGGGAATTTATATCTCTTGATTTGTCAGTAACCTTGACTGAAATATATTTTGAGGGGGACTCTGTAGAAGACAATTCTAAAACAAGAGGAAAAGATCTGTTTATTATTTCAGCTTACAGAGGGCTCCTTAGTGTTTCAGGAAGTAGAACCAACCACTTATTTAAAGAAAATAGTGGAGAAAAAAGAAGCTCCTCTCCTCCAAATAACTAAGAACAACTTAAAAGTCATTACAGTTTTCTGCATTTCTTGCAAAATAGTACTACTAGGTTGGGCTGAATCAGCCAGGGAACATTTGATTTTCCTTCTTCCTTGTTTATGCTTTTCAATCATTCTTTACATAATATCTCTCCAAATCTTATAATAGATATTTAAGAAGCAGAGTGGAAGATTACATTGATCTAAATTCTAGGATAAAATCCAACACTAATGTTTAAATGAATACAACAAAATGCAACGATCAACAAGGTAAAAAGCACAAAGACTAGTATGCAAGCAACAGCCCTCAGGCATGAGAAAAAGCAGAAAAATATGACTCCCAGAGGAAAAATAAATCAACAGAAACAGATTCAAAAATGACAAAAATTATAGAACTATCAGAAAAGGATGTGAAAAGCTTTCCAAAGCAAATAACAATTACATTGCTGAAAGTCAGTGATGAAGAGAAAAATTTAAAGGCACCTAGATAAAAAGGATTCATTATATATAGAATGAGAGCAAATGACTCCTCGTCAGAAACTAAGCAATCTAGAAGACAATGCAAAAATATTGTTAAAGTTTCAAACAAACAAACAATCCCCTCCCCCAAACCCACAACCCATTGTCATCTAGAACTCTTAAATTTAGTGAAAATATACTTCACAATTGAAAGTGAAATACTATTTTTTATATAAACAAAAACTTAGAGAGTTCATCTAAAGCAGACCTACCCCACAAGCAATGTTAAAGTACTTCAGGCGAAAGGAAAATTATACAAGATAGAAATTTAGATGTCCATAATGGAATGAAGAGCCATAGAAATGGTAAATATGCATATAAATATATTACTTATCCCCCTGATTTTTAAATGTCTTTAAAATATTGTGAAAGAGAAAATAATAACACTGTGTTATAACGATAATGACAAATTTAGAAATAAATTGTATGACAATAGCAGAAAGGACAGGATAGAGAAAATGAAAGATTTTTATACTATATGTGAAGTAGCATAAAATTATTTGAAGATATAGTATAATAAGTTAAAAATGTATACTGTAAACCTTATGGTGACCACTGGAAAAAACAAAACAAACAAACAAGCACAGACAAATTACATAAGCCAATTCTTTGTAATAAATCTATTGATTATCTATCTATCGATCGATCTATCTATCTGTCTATCTAATCTAGCTCCTGCTTGTTCTGCTGCCATGGTTGAATCTGACTAATATATGAGTACATACCCATCATGCCAAAATAAGAAAAGAAGACAAAAGTGGACTTCTAGTGAGCTGTTAAGGCATAGTGGAGTGTGAATTATTTTAATTATTTTGTGATTGAGTTAGATGGCAAAGCATTGTATTTCTTAGGCAATGACACTAGTTGTGCTAAGATGATACAATATATTGTATCATTATCAGACTAAGCACTCACAAGAAAGCAGTGGTCAGAAAATTTAGAACATTTAAAATGAAATATCTCAGTACAGCAGAATTTTTCTCCCCAATATTAAAATATAAAAACGAGGCTACAACAAAACTAAATTTCCAAGTGGTTTACTTGTTAACCAAGCAAGGAAATCCATTTATAAAGGTGAGTTAATGAAGCCATGTTTGAGTGTAGCAGCCAGGGAAATATATGCAGATAAGATAAACTTTTTAAAGACTACCATTAGCCTTTCAGTGAGAGCAGTTGTTTGCAGACTTGGGGACATTGGGACAACATCAATAGTCAATTGAAACACAAGGCAAATTATTTCAAGTGGTTTCCTTTGGCTGTTGATAAGATTACAGATGTTACTGCTACTTCTCAGTTGTCATTTATTTTAGAAGTCAATGCCAAGTTTGACATGGTTAAAAAGTTAGCCTCTGAGAATAGTTTGTGTGGAACTACTACAACATAGGTGGTATATTTTTTAAGAAGTTGAGAAAACACAAATTCAGTACAACCTGAAGTGGAATCTGCTAAGATGTGTTACAATTGATGGTGATAAAAATATGCCTAAGCAGGAAAAGCCTTCATTAGACAAAGTTATAAAGCTCATGAAAATGTAAGATGTTTAAAATCTATGGTTATTGATTGCATTAGTCATCAGCAGGTGAATCTATCATGTGTTTATTGAACCAATAGTGTCAAAGGGAAACTATTCGTTCTTGTGGACTTAACCATTGTTAATTCATGGATTTTTATCAAGTAAAGCTATGTGGTAGCCTAGCAATGGTAAAGTTTCACTGCAATTTTTTGAGCTCACAGTCAAGATTGAAATTATTCTGTCGATATGAGTTAATCTGTTCTATATAGAAGAAAAAGAGAAAGACATGATATATATATAGATTTAAATAAGGTGTCTTTCAGGCTTTCATAATAAAAAATTAAAAACTGAGTTCTCTGGAAACACAATTAGGTGAATTTGAAACTTCAGGGACACATTATCCATAAAGCACCAACTTAAGGAGTATTGCACAGAGTGAAGCATACACTTATGCTCTTGTAGTTTTCTGACAATTTTACCATTGACTTAGATTTAGACAGAAAAGGTAAAAAGTAAGAAGAGTTTAGGATTAAATAATGAGAAAGAATTATATTGGCTGCAAACTCATGTTAAGTCAAGGATATTGGGGTTTGCCACTCACAATTCCTCAAAGCCAACAAAAATTCAGCCTTTTCTAATAAGAACACAAGGTTCAGAATCACAGTCCTACTTGGCTCTATATTGCCAAGTGACCAGTCCTCCTGCTGTATCCACTCTCTGTGCCCTTTGATAACAAGCTGGTCTGTGATTTGTGGTCATATCTTCTCTCATTAACCCAAGATGACCGCAGTTATTTCCAAGAATCCTCAGCTCTCTTCAAAAACCACAGCCTTCCATGCAAAAACTGCTAGCAAGCCTCTGAATGTGCCATGTTAGTTCAAACTTTCATATCTCTACATACACTTCTTCCTCTGTCACTGCTCAAAGCCAAGCCATCACCAAGTTAGCACCTCTTTGATGAAGCCTTTTCATAGTTTCCAGTTGTACTTTATTATTTATCTTCTATGTTGACCTATTAATACTACACTTACCACTCTAAAATATTTCTTTACCTTTCATCTACAGACTATGAATTCTTTGAGGGAGAGTCCATGCCTCTTTTTCCTCCTCTTCCTTCTTCTTTTGTATAATTATCATCTGTAACAGAATTTGGGACATCAGAATCCGAGTTCATGGGAGTTTTTCTCTCTCTTGGATGACGAGGTGATTGGTGTTGCCGTTGATTACAGAAATAAAGGGAAGAGAGGAATAGAATTAGATTTAGTTAATTAAGCATAGTTTGAAGCTGTGATGTCCATGGGAGCCCAGGGAAGACATACAGTGTGCAGTACAAAAAATGAAGCTGAAAATCAACAAGAGGTTTTGAAGTAGCCGGAAACCCTATCTAGAGAAGTCACACACCTAAATTTATCCTGCTGGTCTAAAACCCCGCAATCTCACCTAAGTGTGTTCCTTTCCATCTTCTCCAGTGCTTCCTCTCTGTGTGCCAGGCAATCTTACATTCTACTCACAAAGATCACTTGAAAATCTCTCTCCCTGATTGCTATGGTCTGAATGTTTCTGTCCCCCAAAAATCCATATGTTGAAATCCTAATGCCTAATGTGATGATATTAGGAAGTAGGGCCTTTGGGAGGTGCTTAGTTCATGAGGGTGAACCCTCATGAATGGGATTTAGTATTCCTTTTTTCTTTTTCTTATCCCCAATACCCCCAGTACATAGTTGTATATTCTAGTTGTGAGTGCCTCTGGTTGTACTAGTATTCCTTTCCTTTTAAGGGAAGGCACATTGGATGTGTGGAAGCAGAACAACAAAAGGTCAACTGCAGACACTCCAGGGCTGCACACATTAATGCAAAAATCCTCCAATTCAGCCTGGAACTGCTCGCAATTCCCATGGCCACTTCTGCCCACTACCTCTTTGCTCATGCCATCCTCTCTATCTGAAATCACAGTAGTTACCTGCCTCAAATGTATGTACTTGCCCCAAAGTCACACATCCTTCAAGGCCCATTGCAAACACCACATCCCCCTGAAAATCAATCGTGATTTTCCAGTTAGAAGTGCTCTCTCTTACTCTCACATATCTCTATAGACTTTTTTTTTTAATTTACCAAGAATAACCTCATTAACACTTTTGAGAACACAATGAGATCTCACTAACTCAGACCACATTAACCATAATGATTCACTGACTGAGAGTAAATTTACATTGATATTACCTATTTTTTAATTGATATACTCAGAAATTAAGCATATAATCCTGACTCCAAATTAGTGTTTCTGGAAGTGATTTGAACTCCATGATCTCATCTTTTTCTCTATCATCTTGATCAATGGTCTACGAATATTTAAAGAAAAATATTTTGTCAAGAATACTAACTAGACACTGCAAAGGCCACAACTGAAACAAAATATACCCCCACTCGTAAAAATCTTATAAATATTTATTTGGCAGTGCAATGGGCATTTAGAGTTAAGAATATTGATGAAAATCCTCAGATAGATCAACAAGTGGCTCCAGGACAGCTTCAAGAACAAGTCTTGATATTTTTGGTGGCTTTTTTTCTTGGATTGTTGTATTTGCTAAACCCCAGAATATGCTTGTTTTTCATTTTTCTGTGAAAAATTCATGTGTCTAAAAAATAAATATTCGTGTCTGTCTTATATGTCTGTATATGGGAGAACAATAAAGATGATTTTCATTAAAAAGTAATTAAAAGATATTTTCATGAATCTTAGGACTTCATCTTCTCCTCAAGCCCTGAGGTAGGAAAATAACCTGATAAAGCTTGTTTATTCATGATGGATCTCTTCCCCTAGGTGACCCATTAACTACCTCCTCTTATGTTGCTCTGGGAAAATCAATCTTAGTCTGAGACCATTCCCAACACAGATTGAAGTCATATTGGCCTTCCCTGGTCTATTTGGTACCACTTTTTACTACCCTCTTATTCTTAATTAGCTATCTCTTTCTACTGTGGGGGAAATTTCAAATAGCTCCATGTGCCAGATGTGACTATTCTGAAGATGCTGCTATTTCAGATCTGCTAGACAAAAAGGCAGTGAGGAGAGGCAGAACAGATTCAACCAGATTGCTGTGTTTGGTTGACTAAGATATTTTCTTGTAAATAAATCACAGTTTGAAACCACCACTGGAGATTTGAAACTGTGATTTAGTTGTGGAATAGGAGAGGAGGTTACCCAGAAGAGAAAGAGTTGAGAATAGTAGCTAAGTTAATGGGCAGAATTTGAGATATGCTTGGCAGGGAACTTACTTTGGTCTTTAAACAGGGACAGAGAGGGGATCAGGTATTCAAAGACAAGAACCATGATGTGGGAGAGTCAGGCATGATCCAGGAGGCACACATGAGTGTAAATACCGTTAGGATGCCTATGGAATATTTAGATTTAGCTCCTGATTCAGATTAGTTTGGCAGTAAACATCCACTCCAGAGCAGGAAATAGTAGTTGGTCTTGGTTGTGGAAGGCAACTTCTACATGGACCAAACACATAGAAATATACAATCGAGGCAGTGTAAGATGCAGGAATTGCTTGTTTTCTCTTCCTGCACTGACCGTTTAATCAGTTATTATAATAAATGACTGAGGAGAAAAATCTGAAGTGATTACTGAGGCCAAATATTCTCTCTTTATTCATTCAGTTGGACTCCACTCTTCCTGAAATATTCGTAGAAACTTGATATCTGGGTTATTTGTACATCCATTTTCTCATTCAACAAAAAACTCTTCTTCAGCTACTGTTGTTTCCAGCATTGTCTTGGGTGCTGGGAATACAAAGAAAATGACACAACTTCTCACCATGATTTCATAGCCTGGTCTAGGAGATAAAATCAGAAATAGAAAGTTCTATTGCATCATTGTGCACCTGGAGCAGGAACAGCTGAAAGGTGCAAAGGTAAGTAAAGGAGGAACATTCTTTAGTGATGTGTCTCATTAGAAAAGAAGTGGCCAGAATGGGAGAAACTTTGGCTTAAAATTAAGGATCTACCCTTCTCTATGGCAAATGAGGCTTTCTGTCAAATATTTTCTGAGAAGGAAAACTCAAGTTCTGTCTTTGTGAGGTTAGCTTTTCCTTCTAAAGCCTTTCACTGGGTGTGTGTCTAGGGCTTTTTGGAATTCTAAAGATGGAAGCTAGTTTTTTATTCCTTTTCTGTATTTTTCCATTTGGGCATGTCGGTCTCTAGTCTCAGAACTTGAGGGAAAATTCTTTCTTTTTTCTTTTCTCTTTCTCTTTTACATGATTCTTTTCATCGCTCTGTCTTGCCCTATTTCTTATTCCTTTGAATAATTTTTCTTGTTTTCTTTACCTATCATGTTTTTCTCCCTATCCCTTACCATCTTTCAATTTTTTCTCTTTGTATGCTTCTTTTGTCTTCATCTTCTAAATTATTTTAAACAATTAAATTAAAATTGCCAAGGCATTAATTCAAATTAATTTAGCAAACACTTATTGACTTCCAAGAACAGATAATTCTACCTTCTGAAAGTATCCTAGGAGCTGAGGATGAAGACAGAGATGAATAATGCAGGAGCCCTACTTCTAGTGCTGGGAAACAGAAGAAATAAGTCCTACACATGTAACACAGGACAAAAGGTACTATGATAAGTACAAAGCGCTATGGGAAAGGAGGGGAACAGATTTTTTTTCTAGTGAGGAGAATTGGAGACGTTTCATGAGATGTGTGGTGTTTAAACTGGGCTGTGAAAAATGAGCAACATTTCAAGATAGATGAGGCAGAGTATTTTATGTGGAGGGGATAGTTTGAACAAAAGGAGGAAAAGAACTTTTCAGAGATGGTGAAGGGACTGATTTAGCTGAAGATAGGGTGAGACAGTGCTGGGGCCAAAACACAGAGGCCCTAGAACACTATGCTTGTTCTTTAGCTAGTGGGAAATCACCAGTTTTGACTAAGGTAGAAAGGCATAGCTAGTGTTTCTGGAATATTTATCTTCTGTAGAATGGGCTGGGGTGGGCAGAGCCTGGGGACTGAGGGCACTTTGAATTTTGCAGGACCCCCGGATTTCCTGTCTCTAGCTGGTTAATACTCACCACTGTGTCATCCTGAGGCTCTGATGGTTCATTTCTTGCTTCTTATTTCGGTGTCTCTTCCCTGCCTCCCTAGATCCTACTCCATCACAACCAGATTCCAAATAAATCATGGAAAATTTTGAGTTATTTTCTTTCTCAGATACTCAAACTCCAGGACATCTGATGATCTTTTCCTTGGCTTTTGGGTTTTCCTTTTGTTTATTTGATGAGGATATGATCAGATGAAGAAAGGGATAGTAATAGGCAGAAATATTTTTATACATCTCCTTGAAAATCTAAAGTTCATCCAATCATTGACAGTATAGCCACTAAAAGACAGACCTTCTGATTTCCGGTGCAGTTAAAATTCACCTGTCACTACTTTAGTGTTCTTGTTGCTATAACAAAAAATCTTTATTATAGATAACATTTTTTTGTATCTTCACACATTCTTTGCCTTTTCCCCTCCTGATTCAGAACAATACATGGACCTTTTCTTTTGCAAAGCTAACCCTTCTTATGTTTATTTTTTATTTCATCCATGTCTGCTAATCTAGAACCTTATGATCAATTATATCTGATTCTTATGCCCTTTCATAGTCTCCTCCACTGGCTCCTGTGAAACGCTCATTTCTGCTATTTATTTAGTTGTTAAAAAGTTCTTTATTTGGACCCTCTTTATGTATTCTTCTCCTTTTTATTTTTAAATTGTATGTTCTCAATAGACTAACTTTCTTAACAACTTACCTTTACCTTAACCCTGAGCAACCTGAGTTCCTCCCTCCATTATTCATTTATTCATTCTGTAAATATTTATTGAGCATATCTGATGAGTTAGGTATGTTCTAGGCATTGGGAATACATTGCCTTCAAATATCCATTTTCGTATTAGTGATCCAGAAACACTGAATTATTCTGCCTGATTCCTTTGCAACACTCTTCACATTCTTGAAATAATCTCATATTTTGGCTGCTAGAGCCCTGAACTCTCCTGGTTCTCTGGCAGCCTGTCTCAGCCTGAATCACTGTTTTTGTTTCCTTTTCCCAGACTTTAAATCTTGGGCTTTTTCAGTAGTCTTCTGATCTTTTCTCTAGATATATATTTCTTGTGGCTTCAATTATTATACTTAAGCAAATGATTTCTAAGCTACCCCTTCTTAGGTAGCCTTACCTTCTTTTTAAAAACATTACTTTACATAAATAAAGCCCTTCTCAACTTAAAAACCCCACCTGGCGGCTATTCCACTATACTGGATTTCATCCTCCATAGGCTGGCTTTCCAGGACCTCTACAATCTGTTTTCTACATATTTTTACATTTTTTTCTCCTATGTCTCTCCTACACAACGTTTTGTGGAAGCCAAAATAAGTCATTATTTGTATCGAAAGACTGCTTGCTCACTCTCACCTCTGTACTTTTGCAGATGCTGTTTCCTCTCTCTGGAATGTCCCTATCCATCTTCTCATTATTTTTTTTAAATTATGAAATATATTCTACAGACAGAAGAGCATATAAAACATCTGTGTGTATTTAAATAATAAAATGAACTCCTGTGCAGTTATCACCCAGGTTAAAGAGTTTCCTAGTACCTTAGAAAGTGCCTGTGTTTCTCTATTTTTATTCCCCTCCCTCCCTTCTACAGTTAACTACCATCTGATTTGATTTTTTCACATCTACTGTCTGAAAGTCTGTGGATTTTTCATTTTCTTTTTATCATCGATGTATGCAACATAGGCAAAGAAAAATATATACATAAATATAGTTTAACGATGTATACTATTGGACACTGGTACCTGGATGTCCACCTCTCACTTCAAATGTTACGTATCTAGACTAAAATCCATCATCTCCTGCCCTCCCTGCCACCAGATTTCCCTTCAAGGATGGACATGCTGCCCAGCTGTGGGGCATGCCATTAACAGACAGCCTCTAGCTGTCAGCTCCCTGGCATCTGCTTCAGCAGCAGCGAGCCCTAAAGTCACACCGTGCCTGGAGCAATCCACACGTGGTGGATGACCAAGTGAGGGGGAGCTTTTCCACCCGACGTGGGACAATTTGATGGAGCAAAACTCATCCAAGAGCTCCATGTGACAGGGCTTTGTGGGGTCTGCATTGCAATTAGATTTCTTCCTTTGCCCAATCCTGCTTCCTCTGACTTCCGTTAAAGGTGTTGATCTCTCATAAGCATCTTGTACCCCAAACTCAACCTCAATTTTTGCGTTTGGGGAACCTAACTGCTACACTGCCCCTTTTCCTCCTTTTGGCAAAATCATTTTTGTCAATTTTGCATCTAAATCCATAGATGATATTGGCCTGAAAATTTTTTTTCATATTGCCCTAGTCAAATTTTAGTATCAACATAATTTTTGAAATTCGTACATTCTTTTAAATAGCCAGTGTGGTGGCTTTGTATTATGTCAACTTTTCTAGATTGAGCTAAATTCCCCAGAAGTCCCATTCCTGTATGTTTCCAACTAGGATGGGTTGCAAGAGAGATTCTTTGGCAATATTTGGAGGGCAGAAGTGAAGAAGAAGCCATATTTGTAGTTCACACACTTTGTCACTTCTCTGCTGGCTTGTCTCACTGGTGTGAGGCAGTGACCGGAACTGCAAGTGCCGCACCTTCCTTGGATCCCTCTTTAGCTTCTCTGACTCGTGGGCCAGGTGTGTATTTAGCTCTGTGGTGAAGGGCCCTGGCTTCAGCAGGGCACCCTACCATCAAGGTCAGAGACGGTGAGCGCTGACACTGGTTTTAGTCTGTCCTTGCAGTCTTTAGCTCTTGCTTGTAGGTTCCAGTTGATTTTTGTTCTGCCACATTTTACATCCATCTTCCCTTCCTGACTGCCTGTGCTGTGGACTTTAAGCTACAGTATCAGATGCACAGACAACAGACTTACAGAGACTGTTGAATCAGCCTCAATGATTATGTAAGGTCAAGTCACTGTCACAAATCCTTGAGTACATTATCCGCTAGTGATTCTGCTTCTTTAATGGAACCCTGAGTGATACTGCCGGTAATTCCAATTTCTTATTTTTCCCATTCTTTCAGGCAAATTTGGAGCCCAAAGTGACATGTGGGGAGGAAATCATTCGGTGGTGTCTGAGATTGTGTTGGTGGGACTCACCAATTCCTTGGAGATGCAACTAGCCCTCTTCCTAGTTTTCTCTGTGTTCTATGTAGCAGGTATTTTGGGAAACCTCCTCATTGTGCTCACAGTGATCTCTGACCCTCACTTGCACTCCCCCCTGTACTTCCTGCTGGCCAACCTCTCCTTTATTGACATATGGGTTTCCTCCAGTACAGCCCCCAAGATGATTTCTGATCTTTTCAAGGAGAGAAAAGTAATCTCTTTCCAAGGCTGCATTGCTCAGACATTCTTTATTCACATTATGGGAGGAACTGAGATGGTTCTGCTCATTGCGATGGCCCTTGACCGTTATGTTGCTATACATAGACCTCTCCACTACCTGAACATCATGAACTTCAGAACTTGTATTTTACTCTTGGTGGCTTCCTGGACCGTTGGAATCATCCACTCTTTGATCCAACTTGTGTTTGTTGTAAACTTACCATTCTGTGGCCCCAATGAATTGGACGGCTTTTACTGCGATCTTCCTCGACTTATTAGTCTTGCCTGCACAGACACTTACAGATTGGAGCTGATGGTCACTGCCAATAGTGGTTTCATCTCCCTGGGAACTTTCTGCATTCTGATCATCTCCTATATCTTCATCTTGCTCACTGTCTGGCAACGTTCTTCAGATGGCTTGTCCAAGGCCCTCTCTACACTGTCAGCTCACATCACTGTGGTGGTCCTGTTTTTTGGCCCATGTATTTTTGTGTACTCCTGGCCATTTCCCACAGTGCCAGTGGATAAGTTCCTTGCCATTTTTTATGTAATTATCACACCGTTTCTGAACCCCACCATCTACACCTTTAGGAACAAAGAGATGAAGGTGGCAATGAGGAGAATATTCAGTCAGGTGTTGAGTTTCAGGAAGCTGTTTTAAGTGGTTTTGATATTAAGAAAGACAAACATCTCTAACATGCCCTGCCTATGCTGCCAACACGAATCCCATGAAGCACAGCACCAGCGATGCTTTACTTACTAATTTACCTACCAATGTCCTGGATTTTCTTAACGTCTTTTCTGCTCATAACCAAGGAAGATATGGTATTTTTCTTTCTTGTGAAATCTAATGGAATAAGAAGTATTAATAAGAGACTGTTTCCACAATTTTTTGCCCCTCCTTCATAAGGAGGATTCTGGACTGGCCTCTTGTATCTCTTTTCTTACTCTGTGTTCTGAGAAGGATCCTCCCTTGTTAGATTGATTTTCAGGGTTTGTGATGCAGAATCTGAAGAAAAGTGCTTTGGATATATGACAAAATTGAAATTATTAGCAGTGGGTTTTTTTTGATGTTCTGTAGCGAGACATGTGTGGGAGCAGTTGTAATGTGTAAAGAAATAAGATGAAAAGGGGCTTTTAAAGAGGTATTGTTGACTATCTTTAACCCTTCCATATATATTGCCCTTCAGTAAATGAAAGGAAAGACCTAAAGTTATTTTGAATTATTTTTTATTTTTTTAATCACAACATCAGCCTAAAATTGGATCTCTGGGTTATGATTTCTTAAACAGTTCAGCTAGTGCAAGTAGTTACTAGGAATTAAGCCCTGTAAATACTCCAGTTCTTTCAAAAGCTGTGTTCCTGTACTGTCAGGGGATTCAAACAATGGGGCCAGGTAATGGGCAAAGACAACGACCTATTTAAGAATTCTGTCCTAGCTCATGATAATCCTTGCCCTAATTATATTGAAATCAGCAAGATTCCTCAGAGTTATGTTAACTGTTTTCTTTTTCAGTGACATGGTTAAAGGCACAGACTCGAGCCAGACTACCTGACTTCAAGCTTAACTTTGCTTTTCACTAATAAACAAATTGCTTAATCTCTTTATGCCTAAATTCTGTCCTCTGTAAAACAGATGTAAGTTGAACCGTCTGAAATTTGACTGTTTTCGACTCACAAAAATGATTAAAGGTACCTTCCTCATAAGGTTATAAGGACGAAGTGAATTAATACTTGTAAAGGGCTTTAAACAATTCATCTATAGTGTTAAGTGCCTGTTCAGAAAAATGAAATAAAATATTAAAACCGCTTCTCAGTTTTGATAATCTTTTTTCATGCTGTCTACAAATTATTTCTTTCCTTTCTAACTCCATTCATCAGACATTGATCAAAAACTTGTTCTTGTCCTAACAGGAATAGAGTATTTTTTTTCATCTTCTCAACATTTTATTTTTTTAATTGAGGCAACCTTGGTTTTACAATTATATAAATTTCAGGTGTACATCGTTATATTTTAATTTTTCTGTGTAGATTACATCATGTTCACCACCTAAGACCAGCTACAATCCATCACCACACACATGTGCCACACACCCTTTCTCCTTCTCTCCCCTCCCCCTCTGGTAACCACCAATCTAATCTCTGTTTCTTTGTGTTCGTCATTGTTTTTATCTTCTACCTATGAGTGAGAGCATACCGTATTTGACTTTCTCCCTCTGACTTACTTCACTCAGCATAATACCCTCAAGGTCCATCCATGTTGTCACAAACGGCCGATTTTCACTTTTCTTATGGCTGAGTAGTATTCCATTATGTATGTATCTCACATCTTCTTTATCCATTCATCCCTTGATGGACACCTAGGTTGCTTCCAAATCTTGGCTATTGTGAATAATGCTGCGATGAACATAGGCGTGCATGTATCTTTATGCATTCGTGTTGTCATGTTCTTTGGATAAATACTCAGCAGTGGAATAGCTGGATGATGTGGTAGTTTCATTCTTAATTTTTTGAGGAATCTCCATGCTGTTTTCCATAGTAGCTGCACCAGTTTGCACTCCCACTAGCAGTGTATGAGAGTTCCCTTCTCTCCACATCCTGGAGATCCTTCTCTGCATCCTTTTCTGACATCCTTCTCTCCACATCCACATTGTTTCCTGTCTTGTTAATTATAGCCGTTCTTACAAAAGTGAGCTGACGTCTCAATGTAGTTTTGATTCACGTACCATTCTTTTGTATGCAGCTGTCCAATTTTCCCAACACCATTTATCAAAGAGACTTTCCTTTCTCTATTGTACGTTCTTGGCTCTTTTGTCGAAGATTAGCTGTCCATAGATGTGTGGTTTTATTTCTGTTCTTTCAATTCTGTTCCATTGATCTGTGTTGTGTTTTTGTACCAGTACCATACGGTTTTGATTACTACAGATTTGTAGTATATTTTGAAGTCAGAGATTGTGATACCTCCAGCTTTGTTCTTTTTCCTCAGGATTGCTTTAGCTATTCCTGGTCTATTGTTTCACCCTATGAATTTTGGGATTCTTTGTTCTATTTCTGTGAAAAATGTCACTGGGATTCTGATTGAGATTACATTGAATCTGTAGATTGATTTATGTAGTATGAACATTTTAACTATGTTTATTCTTCCAACCCATGTGCATGGAATATCTTTCCATTTCTCTATGTCATCATTGATTTCATTCAAAAATGTTATAGTTTTCATTGTATAGGTCTTTCATTTCCTCACTTAAACTTATTCCTAGATATTTTATTCTTTTTGATGCAATTGTAAGTAGGATTGTTCTTGACTTCTCTTTCTGCTAGTTTGTTATTTGTGTATGGAAATACAACTAATTTTTGTAAGTTGTAAACTGATTTTGTACCCTGCAACTCTGCTGCAGTTTTTGAATATTTCTAATAGTTTTCCGATGGATTCTTTAGGGTAGAAAATCATTTTTGAAACATTCAGCAGGATGCCCAAAGCAGATTTTAGAATTTACACATTTGAATATAAAGTTGAGTTTTGCATTGTGTATTTAGGGATGATCTGCTCCTTGACCTCTAACCTGCAGAGATTGAAGTCTTTCTCTAAGTTAATGACTCTAGTTAGAATTCTTATTTGAAGAGTTATCTTCTTTAGATCGAGCCTGTAGAATAGACATTACCAATAGGGAGAGATAACAGAGTCTTTGCACACCCCACTATCTACAATACTTCTCAGAATGCAGGCAATGGTGAACAGTATGAAATGATGCAGAGAGATCATAAGGATAAAGAGTTAGCTACTCTGAGGTATTTCGTGATCTTCAGGACGCCAGTTTTAAGAAGGTGGAGGGGACAGCTGTCAGACTGCAAGGAATTAAGAAGGAAGTCATTGAGGGATGGTGGAGCAGATGGTATTAAGGGGGAATAAACTTTTCATGAAAGTAGGAGCACAGAGGAAGAACATTCATGAAAGATGGTAGGGAGCCAAATTATAGCAGCATATTTTAAGTTAGGAATTTGTGCTTTCAGAGGCAATTATATTGATATAATCAAAGTGATACTTAGGAAAGTAATCTGATGGTCATGTTCAGATTAGATGGGGAGAAATCAGTTGCCCTGCATTGTAGGATTTTGCTAATGGTTAGTGAAAGCAAATGGAAGATTTGAGAAGTGCGGGATGGATGAGATGTTTGTAATATTATATATAACAGATCTGGAGGAAAAGCTGCATTGGGGAGTAGATGATTATGAGTTCTGTTGAAATTTCACATGCACAAGATTAATATATAAGCATCTAGCTGATAATGCTTGGTAGGCTATGGAAAATATGACTATATTGTTTAGGATAGAATTAGGAGATTAATGACATACCTACTCAGATTCAACTAGCATTTAAATGCTAACAAAACTACTAGACCTTTTCACATATATTGCCTTTCACACAGTGGTCAAGCTTTTGGGAAGGGTATGACTCAAATACAAAGAAAGCCTATTAAAAGAAGAGACTAAGGTAACATCATAAATAATGTTATTATTTATACAGTGAACAAAGGATGAAAAACCAGGGAATGACGAAAGGAGCAGTTTGAGAATTAAGACTACCAGGAGAGTTTAGTGCCACTAAGGATGTTTAAACAGCAAAAATTGAATACAAAAAAAAGTTATCTCTTTTGTTGGTTACATTATTATAAACCTAGAAAACCCAAGACATTTCAGTAAAAAACTGTTATACTCAATAACAGAATGTAGGAATATGGCTACACAGAACAAACAAAAAGAAATATTTCCTCCATTCTAGCAAAAAGAACTTTGAAATAGAAAAAAGGAAAGATGTTCCATCCATAATGCCAAGAAAAAGGGCTATAAAACACATAGGAATAATTTTAACTAAGAAAGCATAGACCATACATGAAAAAAACCAAAATCTTATTGCAGAACATGAAACAAGATTTGAACAACTAGATGGGTGAACTATGTTCTTAGATGAGAAGAGACCATCATAATAATGCTACTTCATTCAAAGTTAATGTATAAATTTAATGCAATTCAAATCAGAGGTCTATCAGAATTTTGGGGGAGGATTGGATAAAATGACCTTAAAGGTTATATCGAATAATATATGCTCAACAATAGCCAAGAAAATATGAAATATAAGAACAGTGAAGGAGGGCCTTGCTTTATCAGACATAGTGACTAGCAAAAATTCATTGTGAAATACGCTGATATTTCTACAGAAGTAGACAAATATATCAGCAGAAACAGAATAAAGAATTCAGAAGCAGATTCCAAAATATCTGAGAATTCAGTATAATGCAAAAATGGTAGTTAAATTTAGTACAGAGAGAATGGATCATTTAACACATGGTGGTGCCATTTAAATCCTATTCATCTGGAAGAAATTAAAACTGGACTTATATTTTAAAACATTTGCAAAAATATCAGAGCACAGTTCTAAATAGAAAACAAAAAATAATAAAATATTAAAAGAAAATCAAGGGGCTGGCCCCGTGGCCGAGTGGTTAAGTTCGCGCACTCCGCTGCAGGCGGCCCAGTGTTTCGTTGGTTCGAATCCTGGGCGCGGACATGGCACCGCTCATCAGACCACGCTGAGGCAGCGTCCCATATGCCACAACTAGAGGAACCCACAACGAAGAATACACAACTATGTACCGGGGGGCTTTGGGGAGAAAAAGGAAAAAATAAAATCTTTAAAAAAAAAAAATAATGAAAAAAAAAAAAAAAGAAAATCTAAGGGTGTATACATATGATCCAGGAGCTAGTACAACCTTAACTAAGACTAAACTCAACAGCTATAAAATAAGTAATAGTTGTATTTAATCATATAACAATTAAAACTTAGGTATAGCAAAAAACATCATAAACAAAATTAAAATATGATTGATTTAGAAAAAATATGTAACAAATGACAAAAGTTTAATATCTGTAATATAAAAAGAAAACTTACAAATTGACAAGAAAAGGACAGCACAGTAGGAAATGGGAAAAGAAATGAATAGACAATTCACAGAAGAGCAAATTCAAACTGCAAGAAAACACATGTTCAAATTTATTGGTGGTCACAGAATTGGAAATTAGAAATTTGAAAACTAGAGTAACAAGGGGACAGCCCAGTGGTGTAGTGGTTAAGTTCATGGGCTTGGCTTCTGCAGCCTGGGGCTCACAGGTTCGGATCCTGGGCACAGACATGGCACCACTCATCAAGCCACACTCTGGCAGCATCCCACATAAAATAGAGGAACATTGGCAGCAGATGTTAGCTCAGGGCCAATCTTCCTCCCAGAAAAAAAAAGAAAAAAATTAGAGTAACAATGAGCTATCACTTTATTCCCACTATAATGGCAACAATTTTAAAAAGGGTTAAAATTTATTCCTGTGTAAATACGTGTTGTTCCAGCCTTTTTGGAAAGCGATCAGGCAAAACTACTAAAATTAAAAATATATGTACTTTGACCAAGCAATCCCATTCCTGGGAATCTATGACATAGAAAGAAAATCATTAATACACAAGAATGTATGTATACACATATTTATTTGCAGCATTGTAAGGGCGAAAAAACTAGAAAAAAGGAAAATGCTTACTAATAGGGAAAGAAGGAAACAA